CTCAGGCAAAGGGGGGTGCTCTGTGCACCTCCATGTCATTGCTGCCTCACCCTGTCACCCCCGTCAACTGGTTAACATGCCACTGGCAGGCAGTACATTAAAGGAGTTTTGTGATGTGTACAGTGTACTTAGTTGTATATATGGGTGGTAACGTAAATAGGTAGACTTTTGCAGAACTCCTATTAAACTGCGATAAATGAATCAAATTTCTGGTAATCTATGCCCCAATGTATTGATACATAGCAGTGTGAGTCACTTTGAGTCATAAGTTTGGGCTACTGTGAGTGTTGTGTGTGGAAAAGTGTGCTGTGTGGGAAATACATGTGGGAAGTGGTGGAATCTCCATTTAGTACAAAATGGGAAGGGAGATTCAAGTTAGAGGTCTCTCAATCCAAAATACAACTGTGCTCAAAAGTTTGCATACCCATGGAGAATTTGTAAGATATGTACCATTTTTAAAGAGCACGTGAATGAGCAGGCAAAACACATTTCTTTTATTTCTTATCAGATTCATATTCAACTATAGGTTATAACAGAATGTCACAATCATAAAACAAAACATGAAATGACCCTTGTTAAAAAGTCTGCATACCTTTAGTTCTCAATACTGTGTATTGGCCCCTTTAGCATCAATGTCAGCGTGCAGTCTTTTGTAATAGTTGTCTATAAGGCCCCTAATTCTTGCAGGTGGTATAGCTGCCCATTCGCCTTGCAAAATGCCTCCAGGTCATGGAAAGTCTTTGGTTGTCTTGCATGAACCAGACATTTGAGATCTCCCCAGGGTGGCTCGATGACATAAAGGTCAGGAGACAGTGATGGCCACTCCAGAACCTTCGCCTTTTTCTGCTGTAACCACTGGAGGGTCAACTTGGCCTTGTGCTTAGGGTCATTGTCATGCTGGAAAGCCCAAGAGCGTCCATGCACAGCCTTCGTGCAGAAGAATGCAAATTGTCTGGCAGTATTTTCTGATAATATGCTGCGTTTATCTTGACGTCAATTTTCACAAGATTCCCCATGTCTTTAGATCTCACACACCCCCAAAACATTAGTGAGCCACCACCATGCTTCACAGTGGGGATGGTATTCCTTTCACTATAGGCCTTGTTGTACTCCTTTGAAAACATAGCGCTTATGGTTGTGACCATAAAGCTCTATTTTGGTCTCATCACTCCAAATTACAGTGTCCAAGAAGCTGTGAGGAGTGTCAAGGTGTTGTAGGGTTCTGAAGATCAGCCTTGTATAAGGGGAACCATGGGAGGGAAAGATCATAGTGTTTTAGTGACTTTATGAGGTTACTTGTATTTTATTATTGGTCCCTGAGGAAGTTTCTTATTGGAACTAAACGCGTAGGACCTGGACCTATTGTATATTTTATTATACATTTTATTTAATTTTTAAAATTAAATTTGCTATCTACCAATCCGGATTCTAGTTTTGGTTCCTGGATAGAAATGGTGACTACAAGAAGGTTACAGCCCCACATATACCCCAGTGGAGGCACCTTAACTCCTGAAAGTCCATTTGTTTGTGAGTGCGACTTATAAATGTGTAATTTTATCCACATTTCCAACAATATTCCACTATGTTTTTTGTAATTAATTCCTTTTAGGAATATTGGCTATATCCCAGATTGTACATTCTGTGTTTCCATTCTGCCAGGGTATGCACACTTTTGAGCACAACTGTAGCTGGAGAAGGGTGGTTTAAAGGCAGCAGTCAGTCATATGGGCTGTAGTAAAGGATATGGGTGGTAGTGGAAGGCTATAGTGGGTGTTATGGGCAATAGTGGGGAATAGGGTCTGTAGTGGGGGTTAGAAGCAGTAGTAAAGGGTTAAGGCTAAAGTTGGGGATTAGGAGCTCTAGTGCAGCGCTGTATTTAGTGCATGGCTAACCAGGCATTTGCCTTGGACACCACTTCGATACATTTCATGGGTGTGTGTGTCTGTAAGTCGGTCAGTGAATGTATGCTTCTTAAAAATAAAACATTAATCTTAATATGATCGGATATGTCCATAGTACACAGGAGAAACAATTCAGCAGACACCAATATTAAACATTGTATGGGGAAATGTCACTCACTTTGTTCAATAAATGGTAATATATATTAATGCTTCTTAAACGCACGGACAGACGCACGCTTGCACAGATGGACAAAATAAAAATGCACTCCTTTAGAGATCGTTGGGTGGGAGTAAGGACCGCAATGCTTTGCCCTATAATGGACTGCTTTTTTTTTTCTTTTTTCCATTCTTGCATGGACCTTATAATAATGACTGCCTGACCATTGGTCTGTGCTGTTGCTGGGCCACTCCAATCCCGAGACACACATCCAAAAGCTGCTGCTGCCACTGTAATTCTGACTTAAAAATACTTCAGGTATCAAGTATCCCCATTTAGATGTTGTTCTAAATAGGGTACTGCTGCAGTGCTTAATCCTATGAAGCATGGGTCCTCAAACTCCGGCCCCCCAGATGTTGCTGAACTACAACTCCCATGATTCTCTGGCTATCTATGTAATTCAAAGAATCATAGGAGTTGTAGTTCAGCAACATCTGGGGGGCCGGAGTTTGAGGACCCCTGCTATAGAGCACCGCAGTGTTTCGTGAAATTCTTTTGTAGGATTTTGATAATATAAAAGTGAGTGCCTGACTGTCTGTCAGTCTACACACCTTTGTCCTTGGGCTCAAGTTTTATTTTAATCTGTGTGCGCACTGTGCAAAGTGTGCAGTGCATACATAATTTTGTATATTAACGCATATGCAAATTGAATAGCTATTTAACCATAGCCACCTAGTAGCCATCGAATAGCCTTTCTTTCCAAGTAAAATTGAATTTTTTAACATGACAGGAGGCTTTGTATTTGTTTTAGTCTCTCTTTACTAGAACTCCACAGCACCACAGAAAACAACCAATCAGAGAAAAGTTAGGTACTATAAAACTCCTCTCCCCATGCATCGTTTCCTCTGTCTTTGCTGCTCCACAGTCAGTACAGGTCAGAGTACCACTGCCTCCTGCTAATATTAGTGGGGGGTTTGGGATTTATTATGATTTATGAATTATATGTATTATATTTTATCATTTTATATGTTTATTATATATTTATTGTTTATATATTACATATATTATTTTATTTAGTTTGGGGTTACTGTCCCTTTACTCTCTTGGTTCCCCCTGTTGCTTTGGGGATGTTTGCCTTTTAGGGGGTGGTTTTTATGGGGGATTCCTGGGGAGACCTTTCAGTTTGCCTTCCATCTGTTATTTACTCCCCCCCCCCCACTTTCTAGTGCCGCCAGTCTACGGCCCTTCGCTTGGGGTTTCAGGAGTCTAGCCGTTTGGCTGTCTCCTCTGATCCCCCGAGCTCCAGTGTGAGCCTGCCGGCACCCGGGAATTCTCGCGGTGGTACGCGAGTACCCGGCGGCCCGGATCCACTCACACACGCCACGGCTGGCTTCTTCTTCTAAGACCCACGTACTATACAACTGACTGGGGGGCCCCTCCCCCACCCACGGTGATCGGACATCGCGGTCCTTTCCCCGCTCGGGTCCTGGCGCTGCACATGGCTCAGGCAGAGCCAGTCTGCCAGTTAGAGCAGGGATAACCACACAATGGTGTACTTCTAAGTGGGGATTGATTCTTACATACTTGCACTTTTGTATTTGACAAGTGGAATTTAAGGCAATTCTTGTTTTAACAGAGTCCAGTTGGAGTTAATAAACTAGGTTAAATGAATGTTTTTATGTTGCACAATTTATCTGGTGTCCTTATGTCCAACCCCTATGCTTCAATATATATATGTTCATGGTTCATCTCTGGAGTCAGAGATGAATCCTCTGTAAGGTGATGTTCATGGTCTATGGCAGATATATAAAGCTATACAGCCCTGGCTCTGGCTCAAACTGGTAAGGGAGACCAGTCTCCACTGACATTAATTCACCTTTATTAGGTTTCTGTGGCTAGTAGAGTTGGAAGGTGGTCCCTTCCAAGCTCAATGAGGGGTGCATTGAGTGGGCTATTGTTTAACCCTTTTTTACTGAAATATACCATGGGTACAATACCCTTCAGGTGATATGCTGGCGGTGCATAATATTGATGAGGAAATCCCATACAGATCCGCAGGTTCAGGCGCAAACCAGCTCTCCGTTAAAATGGAATCGCTCAATATATCTTGAGTTAGTGGACACTATAATCACTAGAACCTTTTCAGCCTATATCCATTACAGCTGGAATGCCACTATTTTGCCTGCTGGGCATTTAGGGACTGCTAGTCCCAGTTCACGTTTATTTGCACAGTATTACACTGTCTAAAAGGGTTGGTGTCTAAGGGTCCTATGTCTCAGGGTACCCTGTAGATTTACAGATATTTAGGGGTCTCTGCCACACAGAGGTCCCCATTACTCATTTAATACGCAACCCAGGATGGGCCTGCTATGTCTGTGCCCCATTGATTGGCTTGCTATGTCTGTGCCCCATTGATCGGCCTGCTATGTCTGTGCCCCATTGATCAGCCTGCTATGTCTGTGCCCTTCTGTCTGGCCTGCTCTAACTGTGCCCATCGTTGGCCAGACCTATCTGTGCCCGAACTCCCTTTGGGCCACAGGCCTGGGAGAATATCACGGAGGAAAGCTCAGTGCCCACTAGACCAGGAACCCCTACACGAGTTTTGACAGGTCGGGCATGGAACAGGATCGTACAAACGGGTAATCGGATTATTTCACTCTCACTACAACACGTGAGGACTCTTCTTTGTTATGCAGGTCCAACCACCATTGGATCCAGACATCTTATCGCTCTTATCTGGATGGAAATCTCAACCCCAGTTTACGTTCCCATCCTTTTGAATATTTTCGGGATTCACAATCTCCAGAATAGTCGACCACCGTTCCACCACACAAGTTCAGTGTGGGACCTTGATTGGACGTCCTTTAGGAGTCTTTTCTCTACCGCAGCCGCGGATTACACAGTCCATTTGGAATTCTGGAATCACTTAGGATACAGCTAGCTTGAACACACTCTTGCCTGCATAATAAATTTACTATCGGATGAGACAACTCATCGGGTAGGTCATGAGGGAACGAAATAACCTATTCTGTACTATTATGGAAGTGGTGGTGGACTTAGACGCATTCCTTGAGGTTGGAGGTTTGCCTGCAAGACTACATCGCCTGGTGACCCTGGCACGATCGGAGGAGCCACCTTCCACATCAAGAGTCGAGACAGGGTGGCAGTTTCTTCTTGCGGCCCTAAGTCCGCAAATGACCTTCGGCATTTTACACCTACAGGAAAATGGCGGATAGGTCGGCTTGGCAGCTCAGGGACCGGCTGCTAGGAAACAGGTTCGCAACTCCACGTACTATGGATCTATCAGCAGAGGGTGTCTTTCCGTATTTGGGATGCTTCGTCAGCTGGCATCTTCATCGATCCGTCTACTGGCACTTCTCGCAATTGGAAAATACATTTACGATTGCTCTAATAGCTCACGGAACAGGTACCAGCGAAACAAACAGCGTTTGATTTGTTTGCTGAGCGTTAAAACAGCAAATACGAAGCCTCCTGTCATGTTATAAAATTGTAGATTATGCTAGTTTTAGTGTACCTATAATCTTAATTTTATTAATGATAGGAGGCGAGTATTTCCCACCCTTTCGTATCCCTCCCTCACTTAATTTTATAATAGGGGTTCATCAGGTACGTATGCAACTCTGCTTGTTGTCTCTGCTACCTGTCTCTTGTTCTTATGTCTGTTTTTTTTCCATAGTAAGGTTGGGATCCATACAGGTTACGGTTATTTTGATTGCTTCATTGGGTACCTACATGTTTGTTCAGGGTACATTTCATTGGCAAATCAACCTGTTCGATTCTGTTTTTCTCTCGTTTCAGTTTACAGTCCGTCAACGCTATCTGGTTTGGCAGTTCTTCTCGGATGGTGGACATTGTTGTATTTATTGTACAGGGAGTGCAGAATTATTAGGCAAATGAGTATTTTGACCACATCGTCCTCTTTATGCATGTTGTCTTACTCCAAGCTGTATAGGCTCGAAAGCCTACTACCAATTAAGCATATTAGGTGATGTGCATCTCTGTAATGAGAAGGGGTGTGGTCTAATGACATCAACACCCTATATCAGGTGTGCATAATTATTAGGCAACTTCCTTTCCTTTGGCAAAATGGGTCAAAAGAAGGACTTGACAGGCTCAGAAAAGTCAAAAATAGTGAGATATCTTGCAGAGGGATGCAGCACTCTTAAAATTGCAAAGCTTCTGAAGCGTGATCATCGAACAATCAAGCGTTTCATTCAAAATAGTCAACAGGGTCGCAAGAAGCGTGTGGAAAAACCAAGGCGCAAAATAACTGCCCATGAACTGAGAAAAGTCAAGCGTGCAGCTGCCACGATGCCACTTGCCACCAGTTTGGCCATATTTCAGAGCTGCAACATCACTGGAGTGCCCAAAAGCACAAGGTGTGCAATACTCAGAGACATGGCCAAGGTAAGAAAGGCTGAAAGACGACCACCACTGAACAAGACACACAAGCTGAAACATCAAGACTGGGCCAAGAAATATCTCAAGACTGATTTTTCTAAGGTTTTATGGACTGATGAAATGAGAGTGAGTCTTGATGGGCCAGATGGATGGACCCGTGGCTGGATTGGTAAAGGGCAGAGAGCTCCAGTCCGACTCAGACGCCAGCAAGGTGGAGGTGGAGTGCTGGTTTGGGCTGGTATCATCAAAGATGAGCTTGTGGGGCCTTTTCGGGTTGAGGATGGAGTCAAGCTCAACTCCCAGTCCTACTGCCAGTTCCTGGAAGACACCTTCTTCAAGCAGTGGTACAGGAAGAAGTCTGCATCCTTCAAGAAAAACATGATTTTCATGCAGGACAATGCTCCATCACACGCGTCCAAGTACTCCACAGCGTGGCTGGCAAGAAAGGGTATAAAAGAAGAAAATCTAATGACATGGCCTCCTTGTTCACCTGATCTGAACCCCATTGAGAACCTGTGGTCCATCATCAAATGTGAGATTTACAAGGAGGGAAAACAGTACACCTCTCTGAACAGTGTCTGGGAGGCTGTGGTTGCTGCTGCACGCAATGTTGATGGTGAACAGATCAAAACACTGACAGAATCCATGGATGGCAGGCTTTTGAGTGTCCTTGCAAAGAAAGGTGGCTATATTGGTCACTGATTTGTTTTTGTTTTGTTTTTGAATGTCAGAAATGTATATTTGTGAATGTTGAGATGTTATATTGGTTTCACTGGTAATAATAAATAATTGAAATGGGTATATATTTGTTTTTTGTTAAGTTGCCTAATAATTATGCACAGTAATAGTCACCTGCACACACAGATATCCCCCTAACATAGCTATAACTAAAAACAAACTAAAAACTACTTCCAAAAATATTCAGCTTTGATATTAATGAGTTTTTTGGGTTCATTGAGAACATGGTTGTTGTTCAATAATAAAATTAATCCTCAAAAATACAACTTGCCTAATAATTCTGCACTCCCTGTATATAGGACTTCGTTTCTTCCCTGTTATTTTCTGCCTTTTATTCTGTTTTGTCACAGCTTAAAAGAGGAAATTATGCATGGGGGAGGAGTTTTATAGTACCTAACTTTTCTCTGATTGGTTGTTTTCTGTGCTGCTGTGGAGTTCTAGTAAAGAGAGACTAAAGCAAATACTCGCCTCCTGTCATTAATAAAATTAAGATTATAGGTACACTAAAGCTAGCATAATCTACAATTAATTTGTTTTATTGTTTATTGCATTAATGTTTCATTTGGTTTCGTTTTTTTCATTAATCCTGCCTTTCTTAATTCCATTCCAAAAGAGATTAATGATTGACTGAAGTTAATTTAGTGAAAACTGTAAATGACTTTCAGTTGAAAAGAATAGACTTATAACCAAAAGTTGGAGTAACCTAAATTTTCTCTTTGGCCGAATGACCAAAGCACTGAAATTCCTCTGTGCACATGTCTGTTAAACTTGACTCTCTGGAGGACAGAGTTTTTTTTTTCTATTTCTTTTTTGTATTTAAGGGATGCTATTTTGTATTTAAAGGAGCATGATCGGGTCAGGAACACAAACATGTATTCCTGATCCTATAGTGTTAAATCCACCATCTAGCCTGCCTGAGTCCCCTTGCCCTTCTAAATATAGTAAAATCTTACTCGTATTTAAGTCTGCAGCTCCTGGCTCTGCCCCTGTCTGCGTCAGACCGGCCCCTGCCTGCTGACATCATCAGAAGTGGTGGTCTGAACCAATCACAAAGCTTTCCTATAGGATTGGCTGAGACTGTCAAGGAGGCAGATCAGCCAGCACAAGTCAAACACAGCCCTTGCCTATAAGCATCTCCTCATAGAGATGGATTGAATCAATGCATCTCTATGAAGACAATTCAGTTTCTGCATGCAGAGGGCGGAGACACTGAATGGAGGCACATTAGGTAGGACTGCTTAAGGAAGCAGCTTTAGCAGCTATCTTAGGAGTGGCCAGGTGTCAGGATCGAGACAGGGATCCAACACGCAGAATACAAACAGGGGATAGGTACGTATACCGGACCTTAGAATGGCCGGACTAACGTAAGGAGAAAGCAAAAGAATAGTCAGAGACAAGCCGAGGTCGAGGGAACGAGAGATCAGGTAAGCGAGAGACAAGCCGAGTCAAAAGGACAAGAGAGGAAAGCAGGGTCAAAATACAAGCCGAGTCAGGAACCAAAAGACAATAGAGGTAATTGCACTGAGTGACCAGACTAGCTAGAACCACGACAGGGCAATGAATCATTCCACAGAACCCTTTTTTATACCTTGGCTCTTTAACTGTTGGCTCCGCCCCCAACGGGTCCTGATTGGTTGTTCGGCACTTGGTTGCCGTGATTGACGGGTCGGAACGTGATTGCCGTCATGACGTCGGCTACTGAGCGCCGCGTCATAAAAGGAGGCGGAGCTATCGCGGCCGGCGTGTAAACGACCGGGAGGAGTGCAAGGATCGGGTGAGTCAGCCCCCCTGGGAGGATGGACGTCTAGGTGTCTAACCTCCTCCGAGGTAGACACCAAAGGTACCCTGACAGTACCCCCCCTCTCAGAAACGCCCACCGGGCGGAAGGAACCGGGGCGGGACGGAAAACGAGCATGAAATGCCCGGAGGAGACGAGGGGCATGCACATTTTCATGGACCACCCAAGACCTTTCTTCAGGCCCATACCCCTTCCAGTCAACAAGATATTGCAACTTCCCCCGAGAAATACGAGAATCGAGAATGGATTTGATTTCATATTCCTCCTGACCCTCAACCTGGACAGCAAGAGGGGAGGACTCAGGGGAGGAAAATCTGTTGCAAACCAAAGGCTTCAATAAAGAAACATGAAAAGAGTTAGGGATGCGCAGGGCAGGCGGAAGGGCAAGACGATATGCAACCGGGTTAATCCGACACAGAACCTTGTAAGGGCCTATGTAACGAGGGGCAAATTTCATGGAAGGAACCTTCAAGCGGATGTTTCTGGTACTCAACCACACCCTATCACCCGGGGCAAAAACCGGAGCCACCCGTCTCCGTTTGTCAGCGTGTCGTTTGAACACCATGGAATTCTGAAGAAGAATTCGTCGAGTCTGATCCCACAACTTTCTCAGATTGGCGACATGAACATCAACCGACGGAACCCCTTGGGAAGGGGAAACCGACGGAAGAATGGAAGGATGAAAGCCATAATTCAAGAAAAAGGGGCTAGAACGAGTAGAATCACAAACGAGATTGTTGTGTGCAAACTCTGCCCAAGGAATCAGACCAACCCAATCGTCCTGGTGTTCAGAAACAAAACAACGCAAATATTGTTCAATCTTTTGGTTGGTGCGTTCGGCAGCTCCGTTGGACTGGGGATGATAGGCAGAGGAGAAGTTCAACTTGATGCCTAAGTGAGAACAGAAAGACTTCCAAAAGCGGGAAACAAATTGGGAACCTCTATCAGAAACAATTTCAGAGGGAATACCATGTAGACGAAAAATCTCCCTCGCGAATATCTCAGCTAATTCGGGAGACGAGGGCAGTTTAGGCAAGGGCACGAAATGAGCCATTTTAGTAAACCTGTCAATCACCGTGAGAATAACAGTATGTTTTTTAGAAACAGGCAAATCGACAATGAAATCCATAGCCAAACACGACCATGGTCTCTCGGGAATTTCTAAGGGATGCAAAAGTCCACAAGGGAGCGCGTGAGGTTGCTTAGTCTTCAT